CCAAGTTTACAAAAGCTTAGTCTTATATATTGAGTGTAACCCCAAGATAGAGATCCTCAACTAACAAAACTCTTTTCCAAACTCCCTTTTGATAATTCAACATGATATTAAATGATTTTTGTGAATATGTGACAGTTTAAACATTAGAGTTTTCACATATACTTAAAACTATTCTAAACAATTTTCCAGAATGTACTGATGAAATATATCTATTTAATCTAAACTGTTCCTTTTCAGCCCCAGGCTTAACTTCTTCAGTGAGGTGTTTGACATATGCTTTTCAGAAGAGTCATGCAGGTAAAAACAACAAAAGGTATTTTATACTGAAAAAAAGTCCTTGATATAGCTTGTTAAGAGTACCGTCTCCTCAAATTCCTGACACATCCTGGTGTGAAACCCGTTCTCCAGCTCCATGAATAGCAATGACTCCCTAACACAGAATCCATAATTACATAATGTGCACTAAATGTCAGAGAGGTAATTGTTGAGTTAAGGAAAAGAAAAATACGTTTCTGTTAGGAAGAGAAATATTTGAAATGTGCTTAAATATTTATCCTCCGACTTTTATGGTGATTAATAATAGATTGAAGGCTTCAGAATATCTTTAGAGAATGAAGTAGTAGATATTGTAGGCTTGGCACAGTGAGAGGTTTTGGTTCCCTATTCCAATTTCCTTGTTTGCTGCCTTGGAGAAGCTTCACAGAACCCTATCTGTACAGAGGTATTCTGCTTTCGTTTTTGGTTTAAGGGCAGACATTCAACGTTTAGTAACTAAAAATTATGCTATATCCTTATTTCATTCACTCATTTTTTTCTTCTGGTGCAAAAAAATAGGAACATATATGTTTCTCTTTATTTCTCACAAAGTGAAGATGTAATGGCATTACTAAATTCTCATTCTGAAGTGTTTAATATCCAACTGCCTTCTTGAAGAAGGTATATATATCTGGTCATAAAACTATTGATTGCTTCCTTTCTGTTTTAACTTTTAGAGCATAACTTTACTTTCTCTTGTTACATTACAATTATATATATATGTTTTGTAAACTGAACAGTTTTTTCCATTAAATTTTGGTTTAGGATTTAAGAATACTTTAATAAGTCTTTTTTTCTTTAAAGAAGACTTTAATAAATCTTTTTTTTTTAAAAAGCTTAACATTTAAGAAATTTACGTTGGAACTTTAGTTTCTGGCAATAAACACAGATTAGATATCCTGAAAATATTCTCAGTGAAAGCCAAAATAACTTAAAAACAGAATAAACATATTTTAAAAATGAAACTCAGATTGTAAGTCCTTCAGGTAGTTCTATTTTGGGGAAGAACCACAAAGATTACAAAGGATGACAAATAAGAGGAAAACCTGCCTACTCCTCAATAGGTGGTACTAAAGCTTAAAACACAAAAGATAACAAGGAAATCTTAAGCACAATCAGAGCAGAAAGAAAGATTACCAGGACTAATAACAGGCTTCTGAACAGGCATTTTTCAGAAGAAAGTGAAATAGTACCTTTCAAACTATAAGAAAATAATAAATGACAATCTATAATTGTAACAAATGACAACCTATAACTTTATACATAGCTAAGATATTATTATAGAAAAAAGCAGAATAAAGGCCTTTCCAAAGAGATAAAATTCATTCTCAGATAAATCTCAATGATATATTTCAGTGGAAAGGAAATTGAATTCAGGATAAAAAAAGAGATACAGGGAAGAATAATCATCAAGGAAATTAATAAACATGTAGCTAAACACTTATTGATTTAAAAATAACAATAATAATTAATTTGGAAGTAAACATAAGAGAGATCCAAAAGGCTGGGCAATGATAAAGTGTAGGAATTGAGGAGAAAAAGTTTACCAGTACTTCACAATTCTTTTATAGTTTTGTTGGAGGTTATAGGTATTGATTTACTGTAAATTTTGCTAAGTATGTATGTATGTGAAATATTAGGTGTATGAAAAAGTTATACTTTAATATATATTGGAACTAAAAATCTTCTAAAATTAAATACGTAAGCAATCAGTGTTAGAAATGAAAAAGAACAGGATGAGCTGAAATAAATAAGAAAATAAAAATAAGAGTAGAAGTTAATTGAATAGAAAAAAATTAAGTAAAACAAACTTGAAGTAGATTCTAGGTAAAACCTAGTAATACACATATACCTGTATTTTTGGTATTGATGAGTAAAAGAAAAAAAATGTTGATATTGAACATTATTGGGTCAGAAAGAGGAGACAATGCTATAGATACAGAAGAAATTGAAAATAATATGAAAATACAATGAATATCTTTATTCAAATGAATGTAAAACAAATGACTTGGAAAATTTCTGAGAAAGGGTAATTTAACAACAGTAACTCTTAAGAAGAAACTTTTTAATTTAATAATAACTATTAAAATGTTTTATCACAAGTTTAAAATCTATTCCCAAGAAACAGACACACTTATAAAATGACCAGAAAAAAATGATTTTAAAGGTTAGTTGTTTAAAAAATCCAAGAAACTGTTAATTACGCTAAAAAAATCCCTCTTTTATTTTTTTAAAGATTTTATTTTTAAATAATCTCTACACCCAACGTGGGGCTTGAACACACAACCCTGAGATTAAGAGTTGCATACTCCACCGACTGACCCAGCAGGGGCCCCTAAAAATATCTCTTATGAGAATTAGAAGAAAGTTGTTACCCAACCCACTTCATAGCTAGTATACCCTAGTATAAAAAAAAATTTGTATCGAAAGACTTTAGTGAAGAATTGAGTAATTGAGGCTATATGAATGAAGAGTTTATGGACCATAAGGCTCAAAATATTAAGGATGCCATTTCTCTCCAAATTAATTTTTAAATTAATTGCCAATTCACAGTGTTTTAAAGAATACATGTTTTAAGTTAGACGGTTCAAAATGGGCATAGGGAAAAAGAGACCAAGAATAGCAAAGATGATTTTGATAGATGAAAATAAAAGACAAGATTTTAATAATTATAAAGATATAATAATTTAGAAATAATTCGGGTAGTACTACTATATTGGCTCAGTCGCAAAGAAATAAGTTGGTTAGGGTAGGATGGGATAGACTACAACAGACCAGGGTATAGGATAGAATTGGGTAAGATGTTAGAATAGATGAGAGTAAGAGGGGGTAGGATAGGGTAGGATAGGCTACGACTTAGTGATAGATCCACCTATGTATGGAAACTTATTAAATATGTGGCATTGCTGATGGGGATGAGCAATGGCATATTTAATTAAAGGTACAGAAAAAAAGTGTCACTCACGTAGGAAAAGTATCAAGTCTTAACACAAAAGCTTTAATCTAAAAATCAAAAGTTTTAAATTTTGATAAAAATATAGAATATATTTATGACCTCACGATCACAGCAGACTTCTTTAAAAAGATACAGAAAGTACAAACTATAAAATATACATTGTAAAAGTACCTATTTGCATCCAATTACACACACACACACACACACACACACGCACAGATAAAGGTAATTCAGAGACTGAGGGAAATGCTGACAAGGCATAAAACAGACAAAGAAATACTATGCTAAATATAAAATAAACTATGGTAAATCTGGTAGAAAAAAAATGAAGGCGAGAAGAAAGGAAGGAAGGGAAGAAATAAAAATCCAATAAAACGGACAAAATCTAGCAACTGGCAAATCAAAGGAGGGGACATGTGATTGGTATTTAAAACTGTTTAACCTCAGGAGTAATAAGAGAAATGCAAGTTAAAACTACAATAAGAAGCAGTTTCACACTCAGAGACTGGCAACGTTTAGTCTGAAAATAACACGTTTTGACAAGGATATGGAGCAAATATATTTTTATAACCCGTTGGTGGGAATTTAAATGGATACAACCAATTTTAAAGGTAATTTGACAATATATAGAGAAATTGAAGATGTACACACTCTAATACTCAGCAATCACATACAAGTACCCAAGAAGATATGTACAGAGAAATGCTTACAAAGAAAGTTTAGCAACATCCTAAATTTCCGTAAAGTGAAGTACGGATACGTATATTCTTATTATTTAGTAGCTATACGGTGGATGTACATTAGTTATATGTTCCAAAGTGAATTATTCTTAAAAGTACATTGAACAAAAGTAAGAAATTTGCAAAACAATTAGACAATATATCATTTGAAGAGACATAAATAAAATAAAAATATAATGTATATATTAGAGATAAAACATATAGGCTATAAAATGTAATACTTGCCAAAATATAAGAACCCTAAATTAAGCTTGGTGATTATGCTTTAATGGAATTGAAATGTTTTATTCCTTGAGTAGGTGATAGACAAGTGTACAAGGGACTATTCTTTCAAACTTTGTGGGTCTAAATTTTTTGCACAGAAATAAACTTGTATGATCATCAAATTCTGCCAAACTTTGTATACAGAGGGCCATTCAGTAAAACTGAGAAAAGATGGTAATCTTCTAATCAGGAAAATGTTGATGTTAAATATCTATGCGTATGGCAAGTATCTTTTGAGAGTTTCATCCTCCTGGAGCCTAATGAGTGTGCAATCCAGAATTGCAGTAGAAGTTGACCTTCACCCAAGTTTAGGATCTGTTTATGACTAAAGCTCTTGAGATCTTTAGGTGAATCAATGAAAGAAGGTGGAGATCAGAAAACCTCAACTTCATTTATTTCAGCATTTAAAAAAAAAATCTGCGTTATCCAAATTCAAGCCTTTATGCCATACGCTGTAGCTTAAAAAAGCTACAGTTGTTTATTTTTTATTCTGTTTTTCTTATTTTTTTTCACAAAAAGTTCCAAAGGGAAAAATCTGCATCTGTATGTCCATGTATATGTACATATATATGTGTGTGTGTATGTGTTCTGTATGTATATGTATATTCATGTATGCATATAAACTTTCTCGGAATGCATGAGGGTGCAAAATTATGACAACAAGTAAAATTTAGGAAAACAGCAAAATTAACTATTCTAAGGATAGAAAAAAAGAATGGAATAGAGTGCTCGCTTCGGCAGTACATATACTAAAATTGGAACGATACAGAGAAGATTAGCATGGCCCCTGCGCAAGGATGACACGCAAAAGAATGGAATAAAGTTGAATGAAAGGAATCTCGGCTATCAAATTAAGTATATCAAATTAAGCTACTTTTTTTCCAACAGTGATGTGTGAGAGCCAGCGTTCAAAACCAGTTGTACTTGATTCTCTATGGTATGTTATATCTAATTCCATATGTTATGTTGCCAGTTGTACCTGATTCCATATATTATGTCGCCATGCTAAATGGGGTTACTGCGGTCACAATAGGATCTCCTACATTACCAGATACAGTGGAAAGAGACCAAAGCCCACTTGGTACCCACTAAGAGGGGACTGCCAACCAATCTCCTTATGACTTGAAATATTACTATGAGTTAGATGAGGTACATAACACATAACTGGATGTAGCCTAAATTTTAATTTGATTTTAACTTTGATTTAATTTTAATTTGGTTTAATTTTAACTTCTATTAAATCAATAGCAATTAACTTTTTGCATTATTTTGCTGTCATCTGAAGGAAAAAAACAAATATCTAAGGGAAAGGACCCTGAAAGGCAAGGAAGACAGGAACCCCTCTGGGCAAAAAGAGTTTCCCTCTGGCAACCAGCCTGAATCAGATGCTGGACAAAGCGGGCTGGTGGAATGGCAAAAAGGAAATTAATATCATTTTTTTTTTTTGCAAATTTAAGCCATGTTTCCAAAATCACCTGATATATTGGTGAGAAATCCATATATATTTAACATTTGTAAATCTGTTATACAGTGTTTAATAGGCTGGAATTTTTAAGTGCATCATCTCTGATAGGCACAAACCCACCATGGGAGAATAGGGTGTCATTTACTTCTGGTAAAAAAGCTCTTGCATGACATTGTTTAGTTTGGTTGGTTTGGTGGTATCCCCAGGTCAAAAGGTCTTTCAAAACACTGTTCCATCATTAGTTTCATTATCGTTAGAATCATCACTGTTGCCAATATTATAAAGTGTATTTACAGTTTAGAAAGTATTTATCCCTGCTAATTTATCCCTTTGTGTGTCTATGTGTGTATATAGGTGGGTGAATGGTGTATGTCTTTCTGAAGGAGACCTTTGATCTGTAATAGATAAATTTTCCTCTCACTGTTATTCTCATAGGAATAACAAGAGTTTTAAGAAGGGGGAGCAATAATTTACTTAAAGTTTTACACAAATCAGTCTGGTTCACTTGTGGAGAGTAGATTAGAGAGGAACAAAAGAAGAGATGGGAGACCAGTTTGGAGATATTTGACAAGTTTCAGTTTAGAGATGATCATACTTTGTACTTAGATGACAATGGGCAAGGATACACATTTGAGATCCATTAGCCTGTAGAATGTTCTCTAGAACCACAGGATTTAAATGAGTTCATCTAAAGAGAAAGTAGAAAGAGAACAGAAGAAGGGGAACATTTAGAGGACCACTAGATCAGGAACCAGTGGATGGTAGCTAACTGGCGTTGAGAAGCAGATGAAGGTGATGTCACACTAGTCTAGATAAGTAGGGGTTTGAGATGGTGGCTGAGATCAATAGATGACCAACCATTGACTTGGGTGAAATAGAAATCGCTGACAGATATTATATTGCTGTCTTTGTGAAGAAAGCCTGAACAGCCTGGATTGAGTAGCAAAAGTGAAGTCGGGAAGTGGAGTCAGAGACAAATTGGCTACAGACTTGTCAATTCCCAGCATTGGGTCTCTGCATCTGATGTCCCATATTCTGAATGTCCTCTGAGGTCATATAACTCGTTCTTCTGAGAGTAAGTGTTATGCACTGAACTCAGGATATTTACAACTAGATACCACTACAGGTCCCATATAATTCTATTTCACACTCCCTTTGACTGTGATTGCCTGGGTTTTACCTCTGATAACCTCAAGTCCAATGGTGGGTTATAAAATCCTTACTTTGAGTTTCAGTATGAAGCATATGAAAATCTTCAATTAATATTATCGCAAATGTTCCTTGATGGATGTGTGAAATTTATTTCTAATTTATATTTTGATTAAATATACTCTTTAACAGCTTATTTCCTTCTGAAAGGATTTGAGCATAAAAAAGAAAATAACTAAATAAATAAATCTGATTTCTATTATCTAGTCACACATTTTGGATTAACTCAACTTATTAATTAGATTTGTTTTCTTTAATATAATACAAACTCTCATTGAGGCATGTAATTCATTATAAGATATCTAATTGTAGGTAAATACAAAGAAAATATTCACCTAGCATATTTATATCTATACCATATCTAAGGTGTGATTATATCTTCTAAATATAAAAATATTTTAATACCATTTATTCTTATATTTAGCAATCTCAGCTTTACATTTGATCTAGTAATATTGTTCTTTTTAAAATCACACACACTCTCTCTCTCCCTCACACACATACACACACACACAAACTAAACACAGACAAAAACAGACCAGTATTTTAACGTCAAAGTCCTGACAGGCAAACCACACAGGAATGCTTTATTTTACTTGTGTAGTTTACTTAGTTTAGATGTGAATTGATAAAGCTCTGATAAAGTATTTGTTCAGTGCCTACACTTTCACATCTCCTTCAATTTATGTGACACTTTAGAATATCACTACTGCAAATATCACAACTGGATAAAACTCTGCAGGATCTGAAATCTACTCTGTACAGTCTTCCCTTTGATTTATTTAATGGAGCTTTTATATAGTTTATTAGAGATGGCATATGTTAGCCGGGAGAATACAAGTCATTTCAATCAAGAGGGTTACGTACTATGAATTTATAAACTTTTAATACCTTTCTCGTCGGGACAAGAGCCGTATCCTCCCGTTAGGCTACAGCTCTCATAGCCCCCTAAAAGAGTTCATGTGCATTTACATTTTGTAGAGGCTGCTTTTAGGGAAGAGGCTTGAGCAAGGGAAACTCCATCGAGGCAGAAGGGCCCATAGGGACCAACGAGTTGCATGTAAACAGGCTCATTAAGCGACCCACCTCACAATAACCAGAGGCCCTAACTGACCAGTTACAACCAGGCCCAGAGGCAGTTCCTAAATTTACAAAGAAAGGGAAAATTCCATGCCTTCCCAGACTCCTTCACTCTGCCCTTAAAATGTGGCCCCTCACCACCGCCTTCTCTCAGGCCGTCTCTCCCTCGCTGTCCTGTACACTGCTCCGTTGTAGGGCAGTCAGTAAGCTTTTCGTTCTTTTGTTCTGCCGGGGGAATTCTCTCACCCCCTGTACAGCCAGGCTCCACCCTATCCCAACACCTCACATTTGGTGGCCCTGCCATCTGATTGGGACCCTTCTAATCTACTTGAGTTATTTTGTAGTAATTTAGATGCTACAGTGGGCCTGGTTCTTATGAACAATTTTATTTTTTTTAATTTTTTAAAGATTTTATTTATTTATTTGACAGAGAGAGAGTGAGAGAGAGCACAAGCAGGGGGAGCGGCAGGAAGAGGGAGAAGCAGGTTCCCCGCTGAGCAGGGAGCCTGAGGCGAGGCTAGATCCCAGGACCCCGGGATCATTCCCAGAGCTGAAGGCAGACGCTTAACCGACTGAGCCACCCAGGTGCCCCCTTATGAACAATTTTAAAACTATAATGATGTGTTTAACATGTGTAAGGTGAAATGTTAAGTTTCATGGTGATTTACATACACTATTTCATTTAGTCCTCATAACTCATCCATAATGTAGGTACGTACAATTCTAACTTGTGTATGAGGAATTTGAGTTACAGTAAAGTTAATAACTTAGGTTGCCAGGCTAGTAAGCAGACTACAGCACCCTAATCAATATAAGTATTACCTTAAAGCCTGAACTATTGATTACTAGCTTCTACTATTCCTGAATGGTTTAAACACAAATACCCCGCCAGGAGAAGAACTTGAACATTGAAAAAAGGCACGGGAAAGAGCAGTTAGGAAAAAAAAAATGTGTAATTGTCTTTATGTAATAATAATAAGATGCAATACAACATTCAAAGTTTAATTCCAATAAATTGATAAATATTCCTAGATCACAATTTTTGAGGGAATTGCAAATTACCACAAAGTCATGATTATAAAAGAGTTTAGTTAATCTCTGACAATACGAAGTCAGAGATATTCTTACCAGCTAAACGTTTATTTCCGGATAAAAATAAAAATGCAACTCATTCACAATTATTGTACCTTTGTAATGTTCCACTCTTCTAATTTAATTTTTTCACAAATGCGGTCAGTACTGCTCCTATCCCCATTTTCTACATAGAATCTTTGAGGTCCAGAGATATTAAGTAAAATATCCATTACATGCCTAATAAGCCACAACTGAGTGAACACGTTCAAGCTGCATGATTCTGAAATCTATGATAATGTGAGTGTTTATTTCTGCCTCACAATGAAAATACAGTTGCTATAAACTTGTTTCCATCACCACCTTCATTCCCACTCGGCAGTGTGCCTCATTACCTGGATGCAGTGTGTGGAGCCCAATCTTCTTTTCACACGCAGAATCTCTCTTAGGTAACAACAGGTAACTTCTCATGGATCAATAACTCTTATGTCCCTACCATCTACTTATTGACAAAGAGGTTAATCCCTGACCCACCTCGTCTTTAAATATGCACACAACCACCCTCCCTTTCCCCCTCCCCGCACTCAGACACAAACACATACACACACCAGACCTTTCCTTACCCTATTCATGTTATCATCTCTGCAGACAACAATCAGCATTGTGAAGCCATCTGTTGTACCACTTCCAGGAAGGGTAAATACAAATCTTCATCCAACAGGTTGTTCCTTCCCAACTGCTAACACATCTTTTGAAAAGACACTGTTCCAGGGCACCTGGGTGTCTCAGTTGGTTAAGCGACTGCCTTCGGGCCAGGTCATGATCCTGGAGTCCCGGGATCGAGTCCCACATCAGGCTTCCTGCTCAGCAGGGAGTCTGCTTCTCCCTCTGACCCTCTTCCCTCTCGTGCTTTCTATCTCTCATTCTCTCTCTCAAATAAATAAATAAAATCTTAAAAAAAAAGAAAAGACACTGTTCCAGCCATTCTTCATTATATAAATTTAGAA